CAACCACCGGTCATTATTTCACCATAATCCGGATACACAGGCATTTCTTTCTAAAAAAAAATTCAAATTTATATAATTTTTGTTAGTAAAATGAAGAGCTTCAGTCTGGTCTAGAAGTAACAACGTTTGAGATGAGGAGTTAAAACTTAACACCTACTAAAGACAGCTCGAAACGGCTAAAGCCTTGCCAAATGTCTCTTTGGGGGAAGTACCACTGTGCTGGTGATAATCCCCTAAGGCAAAAAAACGAACGTTAGGATCCCTAGCAGGCCATCCAACATTGGTCAAAGCAAGTACAGCCAGAGTACCATGAATTATGGCCGACCAAGCATTCATTTAAAAAAAATCAGTTTTACATAATTTTTGCCTGTTCTTCAGTCTGGTCTAGAAGTGATAGTGTTCGAAAAGCGGGGAGAAATCATCGCTGGTGAGAAAATCATCGTGGGCAAGAAAACATCGTGAACAAAGCTCTTTTTTGCAAAGGCATAACTAATTCCAGGGAAAGTTGGGTTCCTTACCCTCGTTATCTCGAATTTACCCTGTCAGGAAAATCCAGGAAAAACTACTACCCAATAGTACTCACAGAGAAAAAAACTAACAAAAAGTACCAAATATCCTCTAAAAGTAAGACAAATGAACTAGGGTAACAGCCCACTGTATCTATGGACTTGGCTCATGTCACTATTAATAATTTGTCAAAGATTACGACCACCATGGTAAACTGTCACGATTACGGCAACGCATAATTATATCGCTATCACGATCAATAATTCAAAAAATTTTGACTTTGTGTCAGCATAAAAATTACGGCGTAATCAAAAATGATAAAAATTTCAACTTTGAGTCTTGTGAATTTTCGTCTGCGAATAGACAGGTGCAAAAATATACCTCGGTGAGAAATTCACTCCATCTGTTCTCGTTGTTTTTCATCCACTTCAACAAGCCTTTACCATAGCGATTACACATTACTTCGTCCACATTCTTTTCTTTAGCTAGAAGAAAAAACTTCCTAATTTTCTGTCAGAATCGTTGACATTCAACCTTCAAGGCAGCAGAGGGACATCAGAATCGCCAGCAGAATGACCATCAG